TGACATCAGTGACTGAAACACTGTTGTATTCGCCCCAACATAAAGATCGGAAACGGCAGCAGCTGGCAACCACCCAATGGCTAATAAGAGTTATTCTGCTCCGTGTGCTACGTTTACTGTAGCAAACACCATTGTAAAGCGCACATCGAAAGTTTCGCAGCAGGTCGTGAATGGAGCAAAATTTCGAAAAGAATAACTTTCTCTGAATACCGTCCAGAACCATTGCCGTTGAAAGCAGCTGAAGAAATAGCCCTGGGTGCTTTCCGCATAAATACTGATGCTCGTGTTTCAAAAGCTGCCGCCTGACAGCTCTCGGCGTGCAACAGATCCAGCCGCAAAGACGAGAAGCCTGATTCCTTTGAAAAAAAATTGGTGCAGGGGACGTGCTGACTTAAAAAGAACTCTCACCCGCTGGCAAAGCTGCAAGCCACCAGAAGAGGATTCACTTACAAGTCCTGTCACTTCTTCTCGTGAGGGGGCACGTTTACTCAAAGCAAACGTGGGCATTGATCTGGGTGATTGGCAGGGAGTGTCCAGATGCCACCATCAGTGCAATTAAAGAATGCTCGACCCCCAGTGTTTCTCAGTGAAGTTGTTTCAGTCAGGCTGCCTTCATTTATCTGGGAATAGTTTGTGCGGCTTCTCTTATTTGCCATCGCTTCAGACATGAAAACACCTCCACTCCGACACGTCCAACAAGGGCCCGCAGCTGGCAGGAGGTAAGAGTCGAGTCTCATCTGCAGCCAGGAATACTGAAGTCCCGTCCGCATAACATTAACTGCGATCGAATAATAATAATAACAATAATAATAATCACAATAATAATAATAATAATAATCCTTGCATTTGATATAGCTCCTTATCACGTCGTTGAGACGTCTCAAAGCGCTTCAAGGAATATATTGTAAAGTGAAATGGTCAGAGGTGGATCCCGGTTGTTCGGGGTGAGGGTAATAATCCCTTCAAAACCAAATCAAATAATAATTTGGTAGTTCAATTCATGTGCGACTCTGCTGTGCGCAATCGGCTGGTGAGTTTCGCCCACAAAGTACAGTCAATTCAACGACAAATTTACTTTACGGTATATCCGGTGAAGCGCTTTGAGACGTCTCGAAGGTGTGATAAGGTGCTGTATCAAGTAAAAGGATTATTGTTGTTATTATAATAATGTGGAGTTTTTAGTAAAAAAACACCTGAGCAATACTGAAGACATTATTTAGAAGCTTTGCTTCGGTGTGGATTGTGTGCCGCAGAAATTGTCAAGTCTCGTTCCGTTGCATCAGGGAAGTAAGGAAATAATTGGAGGAGGTTCCTGCTTGGGCTGCTTACGTTTTATATCAGGAATGGTGTGGAAGCAAATGTCCTGCCCTACCTCCATTAGGCACTAACACTGAAAGTCCTTTACAACTGCAACTTACACTAACGTAGTGTCTTTCACTTAAAAAGGAATCTCTCAAAATGTATTGAGCTGTTGCAGCGAAAGCTCAGTAAAATATTCTTCCTCGTCTGTTACATCCAGTTTCCGTCCGCTTTGATGAATGAGAAAGTTAGTCTCAGAAGACTCAAATTCCTTTCAGAAGAAGTTCAGTTGCTGCGAAATGTTCGCGGGGTATATTATGTAGGCAGGGCCTCTTGACTCCCACCCACTCCACAGCACTTAGCAAGGGTTAGTCACAGAGGGCTCATCTGTCTCACTAGGACCTCTGCTGTATTACGCAACCCCCCACCCCCCACCACCACCACCCAGGATGAGCGAGCTTTCTGTCGCTCCTTCCCAGGCTCCTCACCCATTGCAAAGAGAGTGGGAAATAAAAGTCACATCGCAGAGCAAGTGCAATGTCCTCTTGGTGCGACCCGGATGGAGAAAGAGAGAACGTATCTCTTTTAACAGTAGTTCAGCTCTGCTTTGCCCCCATCCCTCCCTGGATCTAACACAGGAGTTTGCTGAGGGCACGGCTACAGCAATTTAAATATTCGGCGTGGTCAGAGGCAATTCAGCAGAGAAGGCCAAACGCACGAGGGAAGGCTAAAGGTCCAGGACTGTCGGGATTATCATCCAAGGAAATGCACCCTTTCGACCTGTGCTAGACATGTAGGTGTTAATGTTAGTTATCCTGATGTTTTTGCACAAGAGGACTTAAAGGGGGATGTGAAGTTGTCAGGCTGAGAGCGGGTGTCAAGGGCCAAATTGGATTGGGGTACGAGTAACTGCAAGGCTGGCTGTTGTGTCGCTGATTTGAGTCTGTGCATTGAGCTAAAGATCTTGTGGGTGTCCATCATATTCTCTTTCTTTGTTCTCATTCTTCAGGTCTGAAAAGACTGCTGAGTAAGACCGACAAGACGACTGACTCGCATACAAATCAGAACATCAACAGCAGTGTCTGCAGATAGCAAACATATTAGCTCCGAAAGGAAAAATACATTTCATCAGGGCTTTTATTTTCAAGATAATCTCAGTATGGGAGCTGTGGGTGCAAAATTTAATAAATGGTAGGGGTCAGGGAGCCTTAAGTAGGGGTCTTTTGCTCCTAATCTCTTTCTATTCGCTGCAAATCAAATCCTCTAAATTTATGTCAAGCTTCGGCTTTTAACTAGATCAATATGTAATATTTTCAGCTCAGACCAAATACGCTCCCTTCATGTTTAAGAGCAATTTCATAAAATATTCTCAGCAGCGTAATCTTACATTGCAAATTTTCAAACCTCGAAATAAGGAAAATGCCATCAGGCACTTGTGAAGAGAGTTTCATTTCGAACACAAAGGCGGCATTTTTTTNGTCGTCGTGGGGAAACCCCTCTCATAATCCCTGTCTTTGTTTAAAGCGCTCGAATTCCGTTTATTCCATTTAATCTGAAAGTGATACGTCAGTGGAGGCATTAACAACAACTCACTTTAATGAAAATCTGCATTGAAGAGAGAATAGGAATATGAAACACCAGGCTGCACGTGCCACAGACAATTGCCTGTACAATATACTTTTAATTGATTTATTTTCTGCATTTGCAAATATATTTCATCCGTGCTTTACCACACATACCATTTCACAGTTGAGAGTATTCGGAAGTGACCCGGTTCCACTCAACTGCGTTGGTTCTTATTTAACCTGTTCCTAACTAGGATTCTGCTGGTTTTGAAAGCTTTGTGGCAGAGAGAATTTAATCGAGTCAACAAAAGAAGTCGTTGCTTTACAGTCTGGAGGATTAATAGTCCTCCCAAATTTGACCTTACTAGTACAGAGCATTATAAATTAAGACACATTTTGCCTTAAGTTTAGTTAATGAATGGAATTAGGCTTCAGGTAATGGGCTTCAGATACCAACCCCTCATTTTTCAGCGACGCCTAAATCCCGCCGGAAAGACTTTGACAACGGGAGCAACGCGACCTGTGCTTCCGAGCGAGATTCCTCAAAATAAAGATAACATTAGATTCTGTCTTTTAAATGAGTGCATTTGATACAGCGCCTCGTCATGTTGAAACACCCCAAGCGTTTCACCGGATTTACTTCAAAGTGTAGTGCCTGTGTGTGGGTGGGCAAAGGCAGCAGGCTTGAAGTGAATAAATAACCAGTTTTGTTTGGGGCTTTGTTGGCCAGGACACCAGGAGAAATTGCCTCCTCTTTTGGCCTTGTGTTTTGGGATCTTTAACGTCCACTTCTGAACGGACGCGCAGGAATTTGGTTTGTGCCTCAAACAAAAGATGACACCTCCAAACAACGCAGCACTCCTCAGTACTGCACTGGTGTGTTAGCTTAGACTGTGAGCTCATTGACCCCAGACTGGACTTGAACGCACGAGCTTCTGACCCAGAGGTGACGATGCTGCCAACCGGACCAAGCTGAGCCTTTTTTTGGGGGGCAAAACAAAACGTGTTAAGTGTCGTGAAAAAGCCTACACCCTGCTTCGTGCTGAGCTGTGCAGCCCATCAGGAAATCCGCAGGGAGTGCCTAGTCCCTTCCATCTACCTCGTGAGGGCTCAAACCCGCACTTGTCAGATGATCAACTAGTGACTGTCCTCCTTGTGGGAGGGAGGTAAGCTAGATCTCCTCAGAGCTGAACTGGCTCCAAGGTGACACGTTTGGCAAAGGAATGTCAGAACCGAGCCAGCCCTCTGTGACGGTCTCGATGGTCCACTTCCTAAGCCGGGCAGGGCCTCTGGGGCGAGCGGAGCCCGTTTCCCGCCAGCGCTGCACCGCGCACGCAGGCTTGCAGCGGATTTGTGACAGAAGAGGGCGTGTGTAGCGGATTCCGCAGAAACTCTCCTGAATTAGATGGCCAGGATGGGGTCCCTTCAGGGAGCCAGTGCACATTCCAACAAACATCTCTGGAATTCCCAGGTGTAGGTGGGATGCATGGAATTCTCAGTTGGGTTTGAATACTCTTAGCGCCGTGATGGGCTTCCGCGTGCGTCAGACACAGGGCTGATCAAAAAAACTTCCGATGAACTGGAGACACTGTCCAACCTACAACCCTGTCCAGCACCTGTGGACTATCCAATGTTTCCAGGAAGTCCCCAGCAGGAATACTCATGTTCCCTTTAAAGCCACACTGTTTTTTTTCACAATCTTTCTGTGCCATAGATAAAAACATAAGAACATAAGAAATAGGAGTAGAAGTAGGCCATTTGGCCCCTCGAGCCTGCCCCACCATTTAGTAGATCATGGCTGATCTTCTAATCTAATTCCATTTACCCGTCCTATCCCCATATCCCTTAATCCCTTTAGTTTTTAAAAATCTATTGAGCTCAGTCTTGAATATGTTCAAGGACGGAGCATCCACAGCCTCTGGGGTAGAGAATTCCATAAATTCACTACCTTCTGAGTGAAGAAATGTTTTCACAACTCAATTCTAAAGGACTGACCGTTAATCCTGAGACTATGACCCCTAGTCTTAGATTCTCCAACCAGGGGAAACAGTCTCACAATATCTACCATGTCAAGATCCTTATGAATCTTATAGGTTTCTGCAAGGTTTCTACAAAACATACAAGATTACAAATGTATTTCAGAAAGCGTTACTGTTTTGTTTATTGCCTTAATTTGATGCAATCGTCTTCTAAAATACAATCTTAAAAATAACAAGACATTATTTCACCCTATTAAATATGTCAAAACTGTTAACATATTAGATGCAATTTATTTTACCGTGGAAACAGTCATAGGATTTTACACAGTAAGGAGACAAGCATTACATTTACAGTTTATCAAATGCATCATCGGTATCTCAGAGAAATTTTTGCATGGAAAATGTATGACAAATGTGAGGTACGATTTGCAGCATTTCTGAATGGAGATTCCTAAATATCCCGTTTGAAATTAGAATTCCCATAAATCAGAAGGTGATTGCATTGGAGAGCAGTTCCCGGAAGGATTCCCCATTTGAGTGACTCAAATTCCTTATTAATGAATCCCCTTAAGAAACACCACAAATTTAGGCCTCTCAAACAACGTTTAATAAAACATTCAAGCTCGTATAGTTTTCTAAAGGCCATTAGTTCACTGATCTCCTGCAGGGAAGCTGGTGTTAAAGTACAAGCAGAGGAATTATAAAACTGAAACCAGAGGGAATTGCCGCTCAATTTCTACTTCAGAAAAGAGAACATTTTAGCCGTTGCATTCGTGTGCATGAAATGGGCTTCGAAAGTTGGCTAATCATTGAAAGGAACGCATTGGTTATATACGCATTGCATTTGTGAAAGAGCAGCTCTGACAGGAGGTTTACACACAGAAAATTTCAATTCTTATCTATTGCACTAGATTTAGAGAGTTAAACCTTCAAATTGATGCTTTATGTTGAAACTAACATTATTAAAACTAACTCTTTGCTTAGAATTGGAGTGATCTGGGGGGCTTTGTTGCATACTACAGTTTATCACCATACACTATGAGAGTGCTGAGCAATGCGAGCCCATGTAGGTTGTTGAATTAATAAAAAAAAATGAGATTTTAGACAGGATTTCATTTTTCAGAGATGAGCTTATATGCAGCACAGCTCAGCAATGCAGTCTAAGGCATACCATTGCCGTTACTTAATGAGAACAAGTGGTTCAGTGGTTTATGAAGTTTTTTTTTCCCCCATAGATTTAAACGAGTTACCAGGAACGGAGGGAAATCATGTTTCCATTGGAGAATGCAAACACTGTCTTGTTGGCAACTTAAAGCTCCGACATGTGATGTCTGATATGAAATGCATTATTACATTTCCCTTTGTCATTTCTCTCATTATTGCTTCAATCTGCGCTGTGAGCAGTTTTTCAACATGGGGATATTTCATGATAGAAATTGACCTTCCCTCTTATAATTCCCATCCAATAATGTTATCTTCCAATATGACTATTTTAACCTCGCAATTCTGAACCTCCCAAAGTGTCTGTAATGATACAGTGATTTTATTGCGTTTGTTCTTTCACGAGCTTCAATAGGGTTACTTCCAACTGACTCGAAGCCAAACCTATCAGTTGCTGTACACCACACAATGATTTCAATCGACGCAGCAAAGTATTACTTGACTTCACACGGTTTAAATTGTTATCCGCTGACAAGCTGGTAACCTAGTTTCAGGTGCGGAGCATGCGGATGTCCAAGGGATTACATATGTGTGACCTCTAAATGTGAATCAGACACTGATCAGGCACTGGCTTTAAGCACGAGCTTCCAGTCCTCCTTAACTCAACCCGTTTCGCTTTAATCCGAAACAGCCCACACACCGCTTGCACAATTACGTTCGCCCCAATAATAACAACAGTGAGAATAATAATTGTGGATGAGATGAAACTTCACTCATTCTGCAAGTACAATTAGATTCTTGTTTCGCGCTCACAGAGGCAAAGGTGCCGGAAACCGGACCTGTCAAGCCTCTGCCTTAACGGCGCTTGAGAAACAACAGGGTTGCGTTCCACTCTTAAAGGGGTAAGGATCTTCGTGAAAAAACGCCTGCCGTTCCATTTTGATTTTTGATTTCATAAATATACAGTGCATTCCCGCGCGTCCTTGTGCACATCTCATCTTGATGCTTTCTCCCTCTCTTATCTCTCCAAACAAAAAACCGGGCACGTTCTATGCAGACGGCGTTCCTTCGATACGCACATCTCGAGAGGCCCCTTCAAACTGCGTCTAATCTGAGCTGGTTAAGCTCAGTTTTCTGAAGTTCTTAATAAGAAACAGCTTCCACGCTCAGGCTCAATTTAATCATTTTCAAGAATTTTAAAAGGTTAAGACAAAACAGGTCCTACAGACTGAGACCAGGCAGAATTTTACATCACCCTATAGATGTGGCATCCTTGACATTGAGCCTCGCAAAGGGGAAAATTCCATCATGGGCGAAACCCACCTCATCAATGTTACACTACACTGAGAAGTGTTGAAAAATGAAGCCTTTCCTTTCCATCAAAGTCCATCAAATAAACTTGTATCCAATGCCTTCACTGAGAAAACCTCAATCCTAGGTTACAATTTGCAGCAATGGAGAAATTACAGACGGATATTCACATTTCAGATTGCTCTTCGCTTGTGTTGTTCACAGACCCTGTGCAGCTCTGCATCGGACCACGTGTTAAATACTTCAGTACTAAGGTTTTGCTCTGAATATTTTTTTCTCTCTCGCTGATGTTTTTGAAATAAAACGCCAGGACAATAAAATAGCAAGGCTGTTCTCGTAAGCACAACAAACAAGAGACCCAGGGCGTGCTGCGTCAATGACGGTGACTGCTACAGGCTCACAATTTAGGAGAATGACAATTGAAAGTGGCTATTAACATAACCACCATCATACATAGCTTTGGGTTCTCCACCGACTGAAGGGGTTGAGTTTACCTTTCAAAAAAAACGAGCGCTAAAAGGATTATAAATTGGTTCTTGCACCTATTCTGCTGATTGTACGGAAGCGTCTTTACATGTATTATCGGTTGTTCTTTTTATGTGCGGTAAAGCAAATAGCCACCAAATGTTGTAACTGGTGGATATTTGGCTGGGATTGAGCCTGACATCAATCTTAACCACACTCTCTGCCCATAGTTGAGTTCCAGCACTGCGTCACCTGTCACAACTCTGCTGGTGGAGACCGAACCACTGCCATGCTCAGACTGGAAAGCCAGCTTGTCCACTCCGTCGACTACCAGGTAACCAGACAAGTACTGGGTGGACGATTCAATCGTGTACTTGAAGACGTACACTCCGAGGTAGGGAACCAAGAACTTTCCGCTGCCTGGTGCGTACGAGGCCCCGTAGTTGACCATCAGATGGTTAAACTTGATGGGACCCGGAGTGCTCATGCTGTAGGTATGTGCCACGAAGAAGGTGACCATTGGAGCATACCTGTACGATCCTCTTGAAAAATCTGGCGAAGGATTTGAGAGAGTCAGCGGAATTTGTTAATAGCAAAGAATTGATTCTTAATTAATTTAATGCATGGTTACCCGAGAACCTGGGCTGTATTTGTGTGGGGGGTGAGTGGGGGGGTGGAGGGGTTGGGTATTAACGAGCCCTTGTTGGTAATTAGCACTTAACACCGAGGGAAACGACAATTTAAGTATGAAGTGTGTCTTCTCCAGGGAACCCCGCGCGCTTCATGCTGTGGACATGAGGCCTCAGCTCCAACATCGGATTCCCCTCTGAGCCAAGTCAGGGGGTTGTTAGAGGAGGTGGATATGGCAATGGTCTGAAACACAACTGACCCCCCAATCGATGCCTTGAACACTTCCAGGCTCAGCTACTCTAATGCATAACCAGACATCAGGACCATTAAGGCAGTTGTTTGGTAGAAATCCACGACTGTTTGTGGGGACGTCGCTGTGCGCAATCGGCTGCCGCGTTTCTCCCACAAAACCCACAGTCACCACACTTTACAGTATATTCTGCGAAGCACTTTGTGGCGTCTCGACGACGTGATAAAGCGCTCTATCAAATGCTGGGATTATCATTATTATTATTATTATAACTAAGCCTTCTTCTTTTGAAGGTGTTAGTCCATTTCTGCCGCATTGCGTCGTGTACGTTAGGTGACCCAGGAAACCGAAGAGCCTCACCAGTCTTCAAGGCATTTTCGTCCAGGAGCTTTATGTCACAGCTGGGACCACCAAAAGGCGGCCGACAGGCACAAACAAAGCCTTTCCCTTGATTGATGCACGTGCCACCGTTTTGGCATGGAGAGCTGCTGCAGCTGGCTGGTTCCACTGTAAATCAATAAGGCAAGACAGGTTGGCACGCCGACAACAACTTACACTTGCAAGTGCGGAAGGAGAAGTGAGTGGAGGCCGGTGGGGAGGGTCGGGGGAGGCAAAGCCGAGTGAATCTGCTTTCGATTTTTTTGACCCGAGGGTATCTTTCGCATTTGGAGTTGGAAATGAAGGGGTACCGGAGAGAGAGCTGGCGGCGGAGAAGATCCTGGAGCAGAAGACCGCAACGAGAGCGTAGGGTGCATGCTTAGCCCCCCTCGTGCAATGGTGCAAACAAAACGAGGAGAGAGCACAGGAGCACGGGAACCCGTTTCGCCCACGATATATACAGTCAAATCCACTTTACAATATATTCTGTGAAACGCTGTGAGCCGACTCAATGACATGATCAGGGGATATATCAAATGCAAGGAGTATTTATTATTACGACGTCAACGACAGCTTGCACTTATATAGCGCTCTCCACACAGGGTAGCGTCTCAGAGCGCATATTATCATTATTATTAATAAAATAGGAAGCCATTCAGCCCCTCGAGCATGTTCTGCCATCCTATTAGACCATGGCTGATCCGTACCGCAACTTTATTTGCCTGCCTTTGCTCCATATCCCTTGATACTCTTACCGAACAAAAACCTATTGACCTGTAGCATTCCGTAGAATCTATATTTGTGCAATTAATACATTAGCACAAATAGACTAATCTTGATCAAATTAGCATAAAAGCAGTGACGAGAGATACTTCTTTCCCTTCCTCAGTGAACGGAAATAGAAAAAGGTCAAAAGTATGAATTAGATTCAATAAATAAATCTACCGTGTCTCCAGTATACAGCTCAGTGCTGGCCAAATGATATGATCAATGCCAAATACACAGTAATGAGGCAATTTAGACCACTGCTGTCGGTTCCTCACAAAGATCTGTTGCTGTCACAATTTATAATCATAAATATAATACAATCTGATAAGCTTCTAATGCCTTTCAGCCTAAGGCAGTTGTGAAGCCTAAAAATTATTCAGCAACTATATTGTGATGTATCTGTACGCTAACGCCTGATTTCATGGTCAAGTTGATTCCTTAAAAAAAAAGTCACTGCAGAATGCAAGACAAGTAGTGCTGTAATTCTATTCTTGAAACAAACCTAGAGAGAGTCAAGTGACAGAGAATCTATCCAGCAGAGAGAGATGAGACAAGGTTGCGTGCGCGTGTGTGATTTTACTTTAGAACAAGGCTAGACACAGGCAGAGAGAAAAAATGACCTCGCACTATCACGGAAAGCATGAAGCAGGGAACGCCATTTAATATACAAAATGATTAAAGATAACAGCCTGCAACAATTCATGCAAATTAATATCATTTTTCCTTTGCGGACATCGTGAAGCAGATTCTTTGTCTGATTACAACCATTGGAGATTCAGAAGTGAAGCCTAATGGTATTACTGTATTATCAGTGGAATCCAGCTGCGGGTGAAAGCATCACAGGGCGCTCTTGTCAATATTTGTTTATCTAAATTTTGGACACATGTTAAACTGGTTATGTGCCACTGAGCACGAGCGGAATTTGGATGAGGAGGAAGGGGGGGAGGTTAGCAGTGGATTAATGGAAAGGGAATGAACAATAACAACAACAAAATTACGTTTATGGAGTGCCTTTCACGTCGGGAGGATGTCCCAAAAGCGCAAGGTCAACTTACCGCCGTCGGGAGGATTGGAGAAAACGTTCAGTTTTGGACGAGCGGAGCAAAAAAAAAAAAAAAACGGTCAAAGCTGATCACAGAACATTGAAGAATCAGCAGCTGATAACAATGGGAAGGGACAGGGGGACAGCAGCCGAAAACGGGCAGGAAAAGTGAAAGCCCACTCGCTGACCTGCTCAAGTCGCCGAAAGCTGCCTAAATTCGAAAGGAGAATGAAAGGAAGAACTTGCGGCTTGACTGCCAAGCCAGGATTGTTAAGGGCCTCGGGGACATCGCCCTGACTTACGTGAAAGAGCCCGATGTATCCTGCGAATTGCTTTGCCACGTCTCGACGACGTGATAAGGCACAATATAAAAATATAGCATTATTATTATTTTTATTATTACTTTCGTCACATAAATGGAAAATTTGTACTGTTGCATGATGATTGATGGCTGTGGGCCCGTTCTTTTGCGTCAACTTAAACCGATTTATTGAGTGACGCAGGACATGAGGCGAGCTACTGAGGTCCCTGTTGCTTACGTCGTGCCAGATAACAAGCTTGCTCTTAAGCTCACCGCGAGGAACCGGGGGGTGGGGGTGTTGGGTGGGGAGTGGAATGGAGGCATTGTGCAGCGTGTGGGAGCGAGGCAATGATTTATATTCCTCACATAACAGCATTCTGCCACAGAACAAACTTAAATCAACATCAGCCCTGCCGGCAGCAAATAGAATTTGGAGCTGTAAAATTATCTTAAAAGGAAGTGCATGTTGTTTGACACTAATACTGTTTGTACAGCTACAGCGTGACTTTCCGCGCGAACGCAAGGAGAAATATAATGCGAAGGTTGGTTTCTCCCACTGGTCGTTCGTGGGAAACGCTTTCTTCGCGTGGGGAGGACGTTTATAGATTGGTGAAATGTACACGGGCACGAGGCGGAGGGGGTGGGTGGGGTGAGGAGGGAGGGGTGGGCAGGGTGGAAGGGAGGGGTGTCAAATGGTTGTGGGGCAAGCCCACTGTAAACACCACGAAGGGTGTTATAAACCGATCACGAGCATCAGTGACTTAATAGACCCCATCCCAATGTTACCAAAGAGCCACCTATTGCAGCATCAAGCCATTTCCTAACGTAAGTGAAGCGAGCAGAATAGCAGATAGCACTTGCCAATTCCTCTCCGGAGACGGGACTGCGGAGCTGAACAGTGGTGGAGTGGAGAGTGAGACACCCTCTGTTTTTCCCTGTCTCTCTCGTCCCACACACACACCCTAACCCTCCCCCCACTCACCCCCACGCGCACTAAACCAGGGAAGAAATTGGCCTTCACATACCCCCCACCCCCCCTTTGCTGGTAGCCGTGGCCGAGAATATGTCTTACAGTAACTCACAACCGTAAGGCTGGGCAGTGCCACTACCTGACACTGTGAACAAGAGCGCTGAGCGATTACTAAACCGGCCACTGGGTACGTCAGGCCAAACCTTCCTCAGGGAAAAAAATATTTTGTGCACCGGTGTTGCTTAGAGACCTGAAGTCTAAACTCGCAGTCGCACGTGAGAAAGCCATTAACGTTATTAAAAAACAAGCGTAATCTTTGAAACCAAGCAGCGGCACGGTGAACAAGGTGGAAAATAAAGCTTTTTTTTAAAAAAAAGGCTGTAATGGAGAAGACCACCGAACAGTTAGTATAGCGTGTATGAAATGAGTTTGATTCATATCAGTTCTAATTTCCATTCACGGACCATTATGTGTTGCCACAGGCAGGATAGGAAGCCAAAAGAGCTAAACGAACTGGAAGAGAAAAAAAATCAATTAGAATTGGGAGGGGCCAGGCACACTGTGCGCATATTATATTTCACGACGCACGATTGTCTGGTCCGTGCATCAATTTACCCGGTGACTGAAAATGGGTGTGTATTGCTGGGAAAGAAAAGAAAAGAAAGAAATTACATTTTTATTGCGCCTCATCTGTCAAAAAGCACTTCGCGGTAATTACTGCTGAGGGGTCGTCACTGTTTTTTTTCGCAGGCAAACGCTGCAGAGATTCGGTGCCTGTTTCGTAAGCGTTTCGAACAGCCAGTGCATCTGGATGGTTTGTTGGAGAAACTCCGTTCTCCTTTCGAACATCGTGAGGTTTTTGGCCCACCATCCGAAGACCGGCAGACAGGACCGCTCCGTAATACCTCGAAGGGCCACATTTCCGACGATGCAGCCTTTTACCCCAACACTACGAGCTCATGTCCCGGTGTGGGATTGAACCCAAAGTATTCTGAGCCGGATGTGAGAGGGCTGATCATCTATAGGGCAGTCACTCCGCAGAACAGGCAGCACCCCCGCCCCCCACCCTGGATCACATTCACACAAGTCATCTCTCTCTGATCTGGAAGCTGAATGTAAATAAGCAGTGCTTGGGAGAGAACGGAAACGACACAATAAACTGAAGTTGTCCGTTTACCTGAATCATCATTAGTATCCGCATATCGCTGGCTTCTCCCAGCTCCGGCTGTCACGTTGGGTTTAACTGTCACCGCTTGCTTCTTGTAAATCTGCTTCATTTGTCTTTGGAGCTTTGTGATATTCCCAATGACGACAGAAAGTGCGTTGTCCATGTACTCTGTGACATTAGTGAGGAAGACCCCTCCACCAGTGGCTTCACTGATAGACTGCGTGAAATCGTGGGGCTGTTCCTGATGATTTGTGGCGTTCAGCTTCGCCTCTGGCGACACAAGCAGCGGGATTCTCGCGTTGATCTGAGCCACTGATACAGATAAATTCTGGCAAAAGCCCCAGGTGTGGCCGGTCTCTTCGCTGAGCATTGAGACTCTGTCACCCAGCTTAAAGCATTTAGAATCGAGTTCCGAGAGCTTGCGTCTCAGCTCTTGATACTTCGGGGCAGGGGGCTTGGTTTTCTCTAACTTTTTGGTTTTCTTGGACTTTTGGAATGATTTGGAGTTAGCCAGAGTTGATTCCAGCTTGGATTCAAGGGCGAGAATCCGGGCTTCATGATCACTGGTTCCAGCAGGTGACTGAAGGACCATCTCCTCCAGGTGCTGGATCATTTGCTGGTGATCCTCTGTTTTGACCGCAGTTCCATTTAACAGATCGGACATCATCACGATGTTTGGGAGGTTGCTCAATTCGTTCTCAATGTCCGCTATGTCCTTAATGGCACCCATCGTTTCCAAAGCGTTCTGGTGTCTCACCATATCATCCAGCAGCACCATAAAGGAATCATTTAACCTCTTGAATTGGGGGATCAGAGCCAGACAATCCTTCTGGTTTGCTACACTCAGATATGGCAGTCCCATAACATACTGCCTCAGATCAGTCAGATTCTTTTTCAGGACGTAGTAATTATCTCTGATGGAATCGACAGCATCATTGAGCACGATCATTGTGTCATTCAAACCATCCTCGATTTCGAGACGACATTCAGCCATAAACCTGTTGAATGTTTCTTCTTCCTCTCCGCTGTTGCTTCTCAGTCCTCGCTCTTCAGCTACGTCTTTGACAACTGAGCCTAAACGCTCGACTCTGGAACTCAGAACCTCCAGGCGCTTTCTGAGGGCCGCGACATCTGACCTGTGGCCTTCATCGGGAGGTACGAGGGCCAGCCTTTCCTCTTCAGCAATAGGTTGCAGGATTTCCATGTCGTACGCTAGATTGCTAATCCTCTCGTTCACTGACTCCATTGCATCGTCAAATGAGGTGAAGATGTTGAAGAATGTTGCGTTCAAATATTGCGTGTGATTCTGCATTTGGTGCAGCTGGTTCTGCAAGTTACTATTGGACTCTTCAATCAAATCTTGACACGTTGTGGCCAGCTCATCATGTCTTCCCCCAGCGTTAGTTAAATTGGAGAGCTGCGCGTCCTGTGTGTTCAATTTTGCATACAGCTTCACTATCATATGGTTCTGCGCTCGGACTTTCTCAGCCAGACTGAGAAAATAGTTTTGGAGCCTTGTATTTTTCTGGGCACCTCCTATTTCGGGGACTGCAGTGTCTATGTCTCGGAGCGATTGCTCAGAGATCAGTTGCTTCTGAGCTTCTCCTACCTGTGAAAGTGTGCGGTTGATGATATCAAAGAAAACACTGTTCCTCTCCTGTTCCTTTACCAATTCGCCATCAAGAGATTTGATTTCTTCCTGTATATCCTGAGATGTATTGTTGCAGGTCAGGGAGACTTCAGCTCTCAGGAGGATCACTTGCTCTCTGATTTCCTGTATTTCACTGTTCACCGCAGGATCTTGCTTCTTGGGGTCAGGGCTGAAATTTTCAGGCTGTGACGAAATGCTCTTATTCAATTGCTTGATTGTTGCTTTCGTGCTCTCGAGCTCTTCTGTTAAACTGGAGATGACTTTATAGAGCTGAGCCACGGACTCCTGGATGTTCTCTTGAAAGGCCCGGGTCTGTTGAAATACGAGTTCTTTCACCAGGTCCTGAATCCCTTTCGATTTCATTACTATAAGAAAGTGAAATTGTTTTTAAAGCAGTGATTCTTTTCAAACCCAGGTGTTGGTACGACGCAGCCTACATTAGAACGTGCTTCTTTATAAGGCTATGTCAATTGCTCCGCTAAATACAACCCATTCGTTGTGAGTGTGTGCAGCCAGCCCGCTCGCTTACTACGTGCCGGCTGCTCTTGTGTTTAGAAAAAATTGCCAACCTCAGTTAGCATCAGATCACCACAAACATCACGACCTTCTTCGCCCAGAAAGGTTGGCGGAAACCAGTAGGCACTCAGGAAGTGAACACAGACAGCTCTGCGCATACGCAGTGAAACCCACCTATAGCTATGAGTTGGGACTTTTTGGATCCCAGACCATTGCATTGTAGCACGTACGTAGCAAATGCTATTGATGGAGGATTTCAATACTCTTATGACCTTCCTGTCCTACTCGGTTTGACATCTCTTCCAAAGGACAGCACCTTTGACAGAGCATCAGACCCCCAGCACTGCACTCGAGTGTCAGCAGAGACTATGAGCTGAAAACCCTGACGAGCACACAATCTTCTGACTGACAAGTTGCATTTATAGCATTTATAGCGCGCCCTTCAGGTGGGATAGCATTTCGGAGCACTTAAACAGTACCATCAAGTGAGCCAGACTAACACCTGATTGATAAAAGAAGTCTAATGAGTTGAGTTTTATGTTACATAAACTAAGGTTTTCTTCTCAGCAGTCACAACACACATCAATATGAACAGTATAGCGTGCCTAATGGTCACGGGTATAGGGTTGCCACCTGGCTGCTTTTAACTGCTTTTTCTGCCCCCCACCCCCCTCCACCACGCCCCCCACATCCCCCTATTTAGGGGTTCTTCTTTTACTGTATAAGTATTTATGTTGGTGCCTGCGTCCCACTGACATTCATGCCACTGGACTGACATAAATGTGAGTGAACCGTGAAGCACCTCACTTGAGTGGAACTTCTGGTCACAACACATTGCAGCTACTTCAGTTTGAAGCTCACTCATACCGTAGCTGCTTGTGTGGTGACCAAATGTTTCAATCAAGCGAGGTCCTTTATTTGTACCGTAGCGCATAGGGAAATAAGTCGGAGAGTTTATATAAATTCTATCAATTATAATCTACGTTAAAATATATAAGTTTGAATGTATAGAAGTCTTCGAGACGTCTCAAAGCCTTTCACAGAATACACCATAAAGTGAATTGACTGTATATTTTGTGGGCGAAACACAGCAGCTAATTTTGCACAGCAGCGTCCCACAAACAGTCGTGGATCGAGTCCTATTTACTGCTAGATGAACAGAGGCGTGTGGACTGAGGAAACTTGCCCAACGTTTCGCCCTGCTGGTAGTTGAACCCAGCTCCTCTCGCTTGCGAAGCGAGTGCTCTAACCACTTAGTTACAGGACTCCTTAAGAGGGTAAAGAGACCATCAGGGAACATTACACACAAAAAATCCCTCTCTGTGCTGATCTTGTCGAAAGTCTCCACTGGGGAACCACAACTGTTTCTGGAACTAAACACTCCTTGGGATGGATGGAGCATGGGATGGGGAAAATGAGCATCCCTTCCTATTCCTGACTGCCATCTAGAGACCTCTGCTAGAGGGTGCAATTGTGTAGAAATTGTGGTCCTATTGGCAACCAAGGCTCACAGAGGCCACTCTGGCGAATTAGTCGGCTTCTGGGGAATTGTATCCCAGTAGAAGGAAAAAGGAGTTGGATGCCTTCAGGGAATTAGAGCAGTAAAACCGGCTGGGGAAAAAAAAACTTTTACTCACTAAAATATACGATTGATTTTCTGCCATCATAGAAAGCATCGAAATATCACACTTGGACACAAGAAAATAAATGGCTTTCAATGGAGGAAGATAACAATGTCTATCTATGTTGGAGCGCAAGATATGGTTTGAACTATTTCTCTGATGGTAGCCCTCTCCTGCTCCTCAGACTTTGCCATCGATTCAATGTGATCTCCAGTTCCCTGTGGAATTTGGCACAGCTCAACGGCTGTTCAGATGTCACGTAAAAAAAAAACCAAATCGATACAATCCTCGTGGATACGCGTGAAGGATGCTATTTGTCCCTGGAATGATTTCCAGCCGGCCTCCCGCCCAACGCACATGGCGTGTGACTGATCTGCTAACAATAATTTTCCCTCTAACATTGTATCTATGACTTGAGGTGAGTCTGTTTTGGATTGGAAGTATGGTCAGGGTGGGACACATCTGATCCAGCAGTTTAAGGGTAGGTACTGATTGGTACCTGAATGGATCCCAGTGCGGTGGTGGCGGTGGGGACGGGGTGGAGAGCGTCGATTCCGACTGCTGAGGTATTGGGGGTGGTGGTGGGTGGGTGGGGTAGGGGGACCTCTTTGTATCCATTTTGGGATGGTGCAGTGGTGGGTCATATCTGGATCCTGCCAGCTTGTGGCAATGACAGCAGCTAAACAGATTTCCAAGGAATGCAGAGACACACTCTCCGGAGTTCCAAACGTATTTAATTCTGGACGCCAAGAGGCCGTAAAATGAAGCCGTCCCCGGTGCCCAATGAAGAGGTACCGGCGATCAATCTCGATTGTGTACAAGGGCCACGTGGACACGGAACCAGCTGTGTAACTGTGTCATTCGCCCGCCTCCTCCCAGTGCTTCTCTGTGATTAATGCAAACGCTTCCTTTCTCCATTTCATATAACCGTTTTTATAGACATTTGATTAATAAATTGATATATTATATATATATGATTTCTGGTGTGCAGAGGTATGGCTGAATCTCAGTCGGCTAAGGGAAGGGTTGGTAAATCCACTGACTGACTCCTGGCCTGTGTGTTTTGCATCTCTCTGATGATCTAGAGCAGGTTTGCCACACTTGTGTGCAACGATCCTTGTCGTTTTTGATCGCACGCGCCCAGACGATTTGAGTTTGGCCTCCCTCGGAGCCCCAAAGCGACTATTATCAGTCCCGATATCAGCCGCTCTCCGGAAACAGCCCAAGACAAACTCAACCCGCTAGAAGCTTTCAGCGCTCGCTGTGTTTACCTTTGGAAGTCGACTGTGGGTCTTTTCCGCTGTCTTCATTCATCTTACCCTCCAGCGAGAGGAGCACACTCTGCACATCATTCATGCTGGCAGAAATATTCTCCACCTTCTTCTGCAGCAGGCCCAGCTTCGTCTCCTGATTGTACAACTTGTCGCTGAATTTTGCTGTCAATGCTTTGGGACGTCAAAATGAGCCGTTAGATTTATGATTCATTAGGCTGAGTGCACACAGACATTTTGAGCACAATACCTAATTATGTTAACAATAGCGGCAGGAGCAGTGGGAGGCTGACATATTTACTGTAACGGATAGAGACTTTTGGATTAACCAAGGCTTTTTGCGTTGGGGCCTCATGGTTTCTTGGATACAAAAGCTGCATCACTTGAAATATACAATTTACAGTTTCAATGCCTTTCCGAAGTACACGTGTCTCCCGAAACCCCGCCCCAAAAAAAATTCTAAATGCTTTTGATGAGGGGATCAGGACATTGTTATTCCCTGGTGTGTGTGTGGGGGGGGGGGGATCTGTCAATCATGATTAAGTGCGTGGGGTGGGGGGGAACACGTATACCATGGAGACAGACGCTTAACTGGCTAATTTAGTGACACTCTCCCTGGACCTCATGGTGATAGATGTGAGGCTTCCCTTATTTTTTACAGAATTTTTTTAAAATGGATTTTTAAATACAATTAATCACCATGTATCGTATCCCCCTCCCACACCCCCCACCACCACCCAGACTGAAAGCATTTCGACAGGGATGATTCCGTGTTGATCTTCACGCAAAATTAACGAAACCGCAGTAGCTTTACACTAACCATTCACATATTCCATCGGGACTATACCTTCCTGCTGCAGGTATGATTCAGTTAAGGCTTAGACGATATGTGTACAGATGGGGACGATTCTTTTTCTTGTCGGAGGGTGGGTGTGCTGATATGTAACACAATCTGTGAGGTATGCAGCTGTCCTAATCCTGCAAACGTGTTCGATTCCACGAAGCAGAGTTGCACACCTCACGTGTGAATATACGCACAGCACTCTCTTGGAAGCATTTTCAAAACTCTTTCATGGGAATGCATTCACTGCAATAGCATCTGCTCCTCATGAGTTGAACGAGGCTCATTCATTCCTCACTGAAACTTGGCTTATAAGTATGATTACGTGGGATGTTTTTCTCCCCTCCCCCCCCACCCACCAAACAAAAAATGCTCTGGTCGCAATTTGGATAAGTACATTTGGTGGGTAGTATTAACAGCAACAGCAAAGTTACACTTGTATAGTTCCTTTCACGTCAGGAGGATACGCCAAGTTGCTGGACTGTTAAGGATTTGCACCTTAAGCACCTTACGTTCACTGGTAAAACCAGTTTCTTGGCGTCTCCAATTGTGCGGCTGACAGTTCACCACCTGCCAGTCCATTGACAATGGGGCTCAAGTCACGAGTGGGGAAATGCACCCCCTCTGACACAGCACCTTCGATCGAAGAAGAAGCAGCCTTTCAAACTGCACCGGAATGATCGAAGGGCTCCGTAATCACCGATGTGAACTGTCTGTACTCTACAAAATCACAACGTGATAAGGCACTATATCAAATGCAAGGATTATTATTAATATGCCCAAAATGGTAAAAAAAAAATCCCAAACTTTCCTATGGACAAAAAACTCCCTGGTGTGTATGTTCATTGTCTCTCGGTTAGCCGAGTGTCTCCTACGTGCGGAAACCCATCACTATGCTTAAGAGTATCCAAACCGATCTGAGAGTTCCACGTGTGTATGTCACCCGCACGTGGAAACTTCCCCACGTCTGGAATAGAATGGGAACGCTCGGAGTGCTTGGCCTGGTCAGGTCTCAGGCGTAAAAGGGTAATAATGTGCAGACCCATTTGATTTTACGATTTGTTTCCTATATGTTGATTGTTCTCGGTGAATCAAATGTATTTGATTAGTCATTCGAGTTACTTATTTAAGGTCTTGGTATGAGACGGGCAGCGTTTTGCTAACCTGGATCATTGTGCTGCTGATCCCTTGGAGTTTCCACAGCCACGTGACTCTCTGCTTGGTTCTCCTCAGCTTGTCTCTTCAACTGTTGCTCTGTGTATAAAAACGAAACACAGGAGTTCGCATAATCTTTCGTATCGCAAACTGTAATTGCTTTACATTCTCAGTTTTTCTTTACGAGCTGCGTGTTTCATTTATTGTTATCGTCTACAACTACAGCGATTTTTGCATGAAAATAGCTTTTTTTAATTCACTTTCCAAGAAATATACCGTGACTGCATTACTCCTGTACAATGGGACACTCTAATGAGAGTCCAACAGTGCTCGAGGGTATCAGCACCTGCTTGACATGGTGGTGGTTGTTGCTGGTCTGCCTGTCTACCTGTCTGTCTGTCCCACACCAATTTCTGCTTAAGCCAAAAAAGAGCGAAGCCTGGGCAACCCTTGTGGAGTAATAATAATAATCCTTGCATTTGCTAAAGCGCCTTTGCCACATCGTTCAGATGTCTCAAAGCGCCCTCACAGAATATATTGAATTCGTTGGCCGTTGCACACAGCAATGTTCCACAAATAGTCGTGGATCGAGTGACCAATTATTTGTTTATTTTTTGGAGGGATTATTATCCCCGGAAAGTGATCTGCCGACCGATTAACAACTGGGTTCCTATTTCCTGCTAGGTAAGTATAGGCGTGTGGAGCGAACGAAATCGAACTGGTATCCTCCTCTTCCTTGCGAGGCGAGTGTCGTAACCACTATACTACTGGAGTAGTGGTAGTCTCTGCTGTGGAGTGGCTTATTGACACTCATTGCCAAGGCTTGCATGTCGACAATGCCCACGAGGATGGAGTACCAGAGCAGAGAGCCATAACTAATGGATAAAGGGCTAGTTCAATTCTTATTCCATGCTAAGGTCTTAGCTGGAGAAGCAAAATTGTCCCTGGGCGGCAGAGGGTTGAAGAGGGAAACCCAGCCTGGCTTCCTGCTCCTAGAAAATCTCCCACTAAATTAGCCAGACACGCTGAATTTTGGAAAAAGGAAAAAAAAAACAGGATTGGAGCCATCAACACTTGCATGGCTTTGGCTCTGGTTTCATTAATGTCCTCGTTCACCACAAAACATATTGTGTGAACCTGATCTTAAGATCTGTTGAGTATAATTTTGCACAAACGTCAGGCAGTGCGGGCTCCCACAATTGTAGGATTCAGTGGAATGCGTCACTGGTTGAGCAATATAAATCCTTAACATCCACCTGAACAGGCAGACGGGACCTTGGTTTAAGGTCACATCTGATGACAGCACCTCCAACAATGCAGTACACCCCCAGCACTGCGTTGGAGTGTCAGCTGAGACTGTACGAGTTCCAAGTCCCGACACGGGACTCGAACCCGCAACCCTCTGACCCAGATGGGAGAAGTGCAACCAACTGAGCCAGCCGAGATGAAGCTCTTAACTGGTAGGGTGGGGCCTAACTGGACAGGTATCAAACGGTGCAGTTCAATGGTTGGCTCGGTTGTCATGTATTCTGGCCAGTTTCACCATTGCTGCTCGTCTGGCGATTGTAGAAGGTCAGCAGCTTGATATCGCACATTGACCTTACTGCCTGGAGCCACATGCCCCGAACTAAACTGACTGGGCCGAGGCATTCCACTACATCCATAGGCCTCATTTGAACCAGTTCACAGGGTCGTCTGTCAGCTAAACGCCGCAACCTTGTATAATGGAGAAGATACTCGATGTGGAACTGTGAAATATGGAACGGAATCCACAAGCAATCCGAGGAGCTTTTAGTTTTGTGTCTTGATGTGAAGACATCAAAAGTATTCTGAATTAAATCCCATTCAATTAATTACCCCTTTACTGACAGAGTTTAACTCTTGAGTGCTCAGTCCAGTTCAAATCAATGGAAAGGATTTGTGTCACTGAGGCTCAGAGTATACCACTCCTGTGCTACTTTCTATATAACTGTCAAGTTATCATCATCTAATTGCATTTTATGTGGATAATTACGAGCCAAATCGAATTGCAAAATTTACATTGGAATTTGTGGACGGGAGGAGATTTGAGAGTGGGCGTTAAACTTTGTTCTAAATCAAAGAAAAAAGAGGGTCAGAGTTGAAGAAATTATTTTCGCAATTGAGCTTCAAGCAAACTTCCTCCTTTTGCTCTGCGCTTCTGATTGCTTTTACCTCTGCGCAACACTGAGCAATTAATAGTGAAAGAAACCCTGGAGGCTCGCAAGAAACTTCCTTGTTTCACTTGGGCTCATGTGCCTCGGTCAGATCTCTGGGTTCCACTTTTATTTTTATTCGAACACCAGAGGTTCTGTGTGTGCACCACAATTTACTTCCTCTCAGATGCCAAGTCTCAGTTTTTCAGTTGGTTCTCACTGGGCCATTACTCAAAGCAGTTCAAAGCATAGTAATAATCCTTGCATTTGATATAGTGTGGGTCACTGAGATATCTCAAAGCACTTCACAGGAATTACTGTCAAAATACAGCCTGAATTGTACATACTGAAGCGACAGCCAACTTGCAGGCAGCAATGCCGCACAAGCAGCCATCGAAGTGGGGCTGACCGATTTCATCCGGGGGACTGTTGGCCCTGATGCCGTGGTACAAAGGGATCTTTAACTGCAATCCATCTGAACTGGCAAACAGGACCTTGGTTTAATGTCTCATCTGACAGACCCTCCAAAAATGAGGCGCTTTCCCAGTACTGTCCTGGAGTGAAGGGCTTTATAAATGCAAAGATGTTCGTGTTGGAGTCTCAGCCTCGACAATGAGCTAAAGACCTGATGTGGAGCTTGAGCCCACAACCTTCCGAGTTAGAGGTGAGAGTGCAACTAACTGAGCTTGGCCGACACCTGTGTCAGCATGTCAAGCATGTCTTGAGGAATTATCCACACAACAACAACAATTACATTTGTATGATGCCGTTCACGTCGGGAGAACGTCCCACGGTGCTGGACAGTCAGCGTTTCAGACCTGAGCCGGGGGTGCAGGATCGGGGAGGGTTGAAGGCAAGCGGGGACGGAGGGTGACCGAAGGCACAGTTGAAAAGGAGGGTCTTGAGGCGGGTCTTGAAGGAGCAAGGGAGGGGGCGAGGCAGAGGGTCTGCGAGATGAAGTTCCAGAGGGAAGGGGCTGAAGACCAGCCCGCCCTAAGAAGCAACAAGAACAGCTTGCAGTGGGGTAGCCTCTCAGAGCACTTAGCAGTGGCGGAGCCTGACCCCAAGTCTGGATGAGGGAGGAGGTGACCGTCAGCACGGTCGAAGAGGAAAGTCTTCGGGCGTGATGTGAAAAATGGGAAGGTGGCAGAGCTGAGGGAGAGCCTTCCAAGGTTTCGGGGCGTAGTGGCTGAAAGCAATCGTCTGTTTACAGATGTTTGCTCTGTAACCTGGAAGTAATGCTGGTATCAAAACAGGTTTACTACCCGGCTGGTTTCTCACTGGCACATACATTTATTTTTTTTCCACTTGAGCCAGTCAGTTGCCAGTTAAAAAAAAAAATTCTCCCCTTCCAATTCTGCTCCTTTACGGCTTTTTTTTAATATACTGTAGTAGAAAATAACAGCACCATATTGCATTGTGTCAGGTGACTTAGGGCCATATTGATGACTGGTAATTGTTTTTATCAACTGTCTTCCCTAAAATATTGCCTTTCCCCAAGCCACTGACTCTTGCTGGGGAAATGGTTCTACGTGCACCAGTAGCACTCTGTGTCGTCACTCAAGTGACTATCCTTCACGTGTAAGCTTTTACTGTGAGTGTCACGAGCTTTTCTACTCTAAGGGGTATTGAGGCTTTGCCCAATCCTGTCCTCACGAACATGGACACGTGAACCTTCCAGCAAGGGTCACTAGGGGTGGGCAGGAGCGCTTAGGCTCACACCAGCGCTTGCTATCTCTGGGACACCTCTTCTCACCGTGATTCCCTCGGCCGTTACCTTTCTAGTTTCTTCTTGAAATTGCAAAGACACTTGAGCCTTGCTCCCATGCTCCAGGTACCCTTCGGCACTGCCACGAGAGTTTATAAATCGATCACATCTCTTCATATTTTTAATCTTTTTTTTCCCCCCCAGGAATTTCTTTTCTGTTAAATTTCACGGCGCCCTTTTTATCCTTTGTGGCACCGAATCATTTTTGCGTTCCCTTCCAGGGAATTTGCAATCAATTTAGATCGTCAGGGCCTTTCTGTTCTTTTCATTATCTGATATTGTTCTCTGACCTTTCCAGTTGAGATGAGATTGAATTTCCAACGCAAGGAGCCGAAGGCCTGATATTCCAGTTAGTCATAGCTCTTAAAACGTTTCATTTGTGGGAAGTTCTTCAATTAAGTTGGAAGTTGTTTGGCCGTATAGTTCATAAAAGTAAACTGGTTTCCAAGTTCCGATTGAATTTTCCACAGTTTAGCAAAATCTTAAATGCTATCAACAACAACAATAATAACACATTTGTGTTTTATATTATATTTAGAGAACGCCTTTGATGTGGTGTTTATGGGACGTCCTAAGGCTCTGGTTTGGCACCCGATGGTCAAAGGCGACGTCAAAGAGGAAGGTCACGAAACAGAACTCGAAAGAGGTGACAGAGGGAACGAGTCCGGGATGGAGTTCCAGTGAGTTCCAGCTGGCAGACAAAATAGTCTTACAGGGTAAGACGAGGTGGAAATTCTGCTTTCCGTTCTCTTTGAAATCTGTCGCCACTACCTGCGTTTCAATGGTGAAGCAATTGGTTTCTTGAGCTGCAGGGTTTACAAAAGGTTCAATTCCTGGGTGTGTTGCTTTTGCTCATTTCAGTTGGAGGAGGAAGCATCAGCTCGAAGGGTTTTAAAGATTTTGACTGTTGCTTTCTCTGGATTTTTTAGATTTTTTTTTGCCTCCAACAATGGCGTGAAATTTGTGATGTTTCAGAACAGTGCTCTCTTCATTTTCTATCTCTTCGAACACATCCCTGGCTCGCTCCTCCTTACCCCTCACCCCCCCATCCTTGTTCGGAGCACGTCATTCAGTGGCAGAGTTGGATGCTGAGCTAGGAGGAAGGGGAATGTGGGAAAGAGCAGGTAAACGGGGCTGAAAGGATTGCTCTTGTAAGAGCTGAGAAGGACACAGCGTCCTTCTTTGTGCTGTAAATTTCCTGGGTGATGGTGGGTGGGGGGTGGGGGGATGGTATGTGACTGTAGTTGGTCATTATTTTAAGGTGGGATTTGAAGATGGAAAGACAGGCGATGAGGTAGAGGAATAGAGGAAGGGAGTTCCAGAATTTGAGGGTGTAATGGCTGAAGGCTCAGCCACCGATGGTGGCACAAAGTGGGGTGAGAGGCACGTATTACGTCAGTGAAGGAAGAGGGCAGAGGAACACGGTACAAGGAAATTCTGACCTTTGGGTTCGCATTTTGCTCCAGTGTAACCAGGACAGCACCTCCATTCCAACGAGGTCACGATTTTGTGCTTCATCCTGTAAGCCGGGCGGTTCATGATCTGATACCTACAAACGGAAACATTCAGAAGATTTAAGGCAGTGTCGCTCACCGTTATGTCAAGGGCTGAAATCTTGCTCGAGGGGCTTCTCTCAAGATGTGCAGCTGAGCGAAAGGGGGTGGGCAGAGGAATAAGAATAATAATCCTTGCATTTGATCTAGGTCAGGTCTTCGATACATCTCAAAGCTCTTCACAGAATATACTGCAAAGTGAATAGACTGTATATTTTTTGAGCAAAACACAGCAGACAACTACGCACAGCAGTATCCCCGTAAACAGTCATGGATTGAGTGATCAAATTATTACTATTTTTTTTTGAAGGGATTATTACCCACAGAAAAGCGATCCGCCAATCGACTTAACAACCGGGTCGCTGCTTACTGCTAGGTAAACAGAGACGTGTGCATGAAGGAAACTTGCCCAACATTTCGCCCTGCCCGGGAATCAAACCCAAGTTCTCTCGCTTCCGAGGCGAGCGCTCTCGCCGCTACACTACAGGACTCCACAAATATGTTTACAATGGAATATCTTGGGATCTGGTGAAGGATAGAGGATGGGGAGCTGCTGGTTCGGAGCGGGGAAGAGAGACACTCTGTAATATTTTCATATCACACTGTTTGCCATAAGCGCTCGTGAATTGGACCCTGTTCGATCAGCTCACGAAATGTTAGAGAGTGTCTGTGTGCGATCCCCAGAAGACGGCAATTCTGCTCCTGCTGCACATTCCACAGAAACTCGTGACACCGCCCATTTGAAAATATTCATTTGAGTTAATGAGTGCATTCGGGATCATCCGTAATTGTCGACATTTTTCAGACAAAAGCTTGCAAACCATACCCCAAAGTGGGGAACGAGATGAATATTCCACCAATACTTTTCATGCATAAAAATGATCAATTTTCATAATTTTTTACAGTAGCCTTTGGGCATCGTGTGGTAACAAGCCAATGGTCTTTTTTTCTCTCTGCTTCTGGGCACAAGATTAAAACTACAGATGGGTTCCAGGAGATCTTAGAGGAATATTGTACCGCGTACAGAATACGTTCATAAACAAGTCGACTGAAACCTTAATGGCATGTACATAATAATAATAACAATAATAATACTTGCATTTGATTTAAAGAGCCTCTCACTTCGGGATGATGTCTCAAATTGATGTATAGGACCTGTCACGTTGGGAGGATGTCTCACAGCACATCACAGGAGTGTTTACAAACAGCTATGAAATGAGTTTTATTTGGGGCATTCTTGGCTAGGACACCAGGAGAAACTCCCTATATATTATATACCGATATATATATATATTATATATAATATATACACATATATATATTTAGGATAATATTTTAGACTGTCCACAAATTTATTGTTGATTCAGATTCCTTAATGTGTTATAAGATAGGATTTAGGATAATATTTTAAACTGTGACTTTCAATATAAGGATTGGAAGATACAACACTGTATAATTACTATCCAAAAGTGGGAGGGAAATGGAGTTGACAAGCGATGCACTTGTCTTGATATTTAATTACTATTTCTTTACTCAAACACTTAACGAATCCTGTTGGTTCCCGTGATAACTGGCATGTTTACCAGGGGCCGCTGTGCAGAACAATGTCGATGCTTCTTCAGGTTTTTATTGTCTCAGATTGGATCGGTTTGATTACGCTGAAAAGGGTCTGATCGCAGGCACAGCTCTGGCTCTGCTCGGTAGCAAGGGGCAGCCGAAGATTAGCCAAACGTTAGCCAGGAAGGCCGAAGATTAGAAGACTAGAATGTGATGAATGTCAGAGCCTTCGGTTCTTCAGGTTATCTCCCTTCAACATTGTGCGGCACAGTGTAACAGTACTCTGACTGGAGATAATGGGGTACCTACGCTTTGGAACTCTCTCCCTCAATCTCTCCGTCTTGTCCCCTCTCTCCCCACTTTCAAATCCCATCTCAAATACCTTCCTTTTTGATTGTGCTGAGGGGGTCACTTCCCCCACCTCTCTCTCTCTCTCTCCCCCTGACTCGGTGTTCAGACTCTCCAGGATGGCGCTATTATAAATGCAAGTTGTTATCGTTGTTGTACCAGTCTGTGTAACATTGGGGGACAATAATAATCCTTGCATTTGATATAGCTTGATCACAGTGAATCAAAGCGCTTCACAGTAGTTACTGTCAAGTGTAGTGTCCGTGTTTGTGGATGAAGCTGGCAACAAATTCGTGCAATGCCCCACCCACAAACAGCATAGCAATACTGTGACAATTTAAAATTGGTTTTATCTACACGTGCCAAAGTCCGCTGGGAATTGAAGGTTAACGTTCAAAGGATGAATCACTCCGTTGATATTCAACCCTTCAGGCCTTGCAGGAAAGTGCACAACACTGGCCAGTTATCCTCTGCGTCAAAAAGGAAGCCCTCGAACTTCTAAAGTGAGGTGCTGCTTTTGTGGCCGAGATCATAAGGAAACTGGATCTACAGTCTGCCAGACACTCACGCGAGCCACCAAGGGAAGAGGAGCAATTAGGCGAAAGCAGTGGACCTTTAAAGAGGACCTTTGAAAGCTTGCTCGGAGCAAGCTAGAACTTCTGCAAAGGGGTGGGACTGAGGTGGTGAGGTGGGCGGATCGAAGGTAGAGTCAAAGCAACAGGAGATGGCACCTGCTTTGCTGCCTTTGGCATTGCCGTCTCTCCAGGTCAGTCAAGAGCAGCTCCAGAGTCGGTAACTGCATCGTACATCTTGCCATCTTCCAGTAGCAGCAATGTTCCAAGATAAATGGTCCATTAAACACCTCTTCTTATATGGGATTTGAACCTGAATCTCCAGGGTTCAGAGTCAGTAAGAATGAGCCCAATTCCGTTTACTAGCCAGAGTCCAAGGGGTGACCAAAGACTATATGGAATGGAATTACTATCAGGGCTCGAGCAGATTTCATCATGTATCTGATAATCCAAATGAGAAAGAGAGGCAGGAAATGTATTCTGGAAATAATCACTTAGACTACTTTGAATCAGATTTGCATAATAATAACTATTAATCTGAAAATGTTTATAATGATGATTGAAAGTAGTTTTGTACATCTGAATGCTATTAATTATGAGTGGTTAAACACCTTGGGACTGAATTTTCGTTTGAGGATCGAAGGTGAGTTTTCAGAAGTAGGTCACAGCCCAAATAATTGCAGGTGAAGAGATTGGATAATTGCGACGTGTATCAAAGGGTCACATTTGGTGTCAGGATGACAGGTGGATGAGTAGCTTTCAGAGTATTTCAGTACTAGTGGCAGATGTCAGACCTATACAGAGGAGGTTACCCTCACTGTCTGAAGATCAGCCTCCACCCTGGACACAGCAGAACCTTGATACAGAACTCCAGTATAACCCTATTTGTTATAACGCAGGTTTCCTTTTAATCCAACTGGGTTGTGGACCCCGAGATTTGCTTAACTGTGCTTGAACTCCTGTTGTCTCAATTCAGAATGCAACAACAACATCAACGACAACAACAACGACATTTGTGCAGCCCTTTCGTGTCAGGAGGACATCCCAAAGTGCTGCAAGGCATCAGCACCACCAGAGTTGAAGTGGAACGAACCGCTCTGAAGCGCGATAACACCCAGTGAATTTTTTTTTTTAAAAGTCAAATATGTGGGAATAGGAAAGATGACCGCAGGCGCGGGGGTCGAAGCAACAGCGAGGAGATGGCAAACGTAATCAAAATGAAATGACATGTAAACAAAACAACAACAACAACAAAATGACGTTTATTATAGCGCCTTTCACGTCGGGAGGACAAGATCAGTAGCTCTGTTGTAAGGCGGATTGGAATTTTATAGCTCCCCCCACGCACCCCCCCTCCTCTCTCCTCCCCCCCCCCCCCCCCCGCCCTGCTCTCACCCACCATCCAAGTACCACTTATCAATCAGCTCTTCTGTAACTCGCTATTTTTTGCCTGGGGCTAACTGACTGAAAAGATTGATAACTCAAAGTCCAGAATGACTAATGAAATCGTACTTACAGTCATTTGGGATTCCTGTCGTTTTCAAGGAACCAAGGAACAGGGTTGCTGTCGGCGAGTGGCCATTTGGTGCATTGACACAAGGCTTTGTGTGAAGTTTGAAGTGTTAGTTCGCACTGAAGGGTGCCAATTGCGGAGATGATCAAATCAATGGCCACCAGGGTAAAACACCACAAATCGTACCCCATCACTCCTCAAATGAACACATTCCCTTGGTTACAGACTGATGAATTTTTTACAAGGAAATTTTAAATTGTACCCAAAAATAAAAAAGGTCTTTGGCAGCGTGTCTACACACCAATGCAGGATCATCAGGCAACGAGAGGTGCAGGAGAGCACCACAAAGAGAGGTCAGGACATCACTGCAACGAGAGGTGCAGTGGTGCTTAGTTTCTAATCTCAACGACTTGTTCTGCAGGAAGACGCTGAGCTCCTTCTCAATGTATGGGGAGAATGGGAAGTGGAAGGGAATGGAGGTATCTCTCTGTGGGTGAACCTCGAACTAGCAGAGGAAAAACTGCAATGAGAAAGGCCGAGAGTTAGAGCGACTGCCTTTGCTTTTGGCCAGCAGCTGGATGTCGCTCAGGCAGAGGGGAAGGAGGAGGAGGGCTGGTCCCATGAACAGGTAATAATATGTATGTTACTGATGAAATTGAGGTTGGTTTCTGGGTCACAGTTCAGAATGCAGGGAACACGAAGAGTACACAGGTTGGAGCTTCGGGGAGGACAGATCATATTTAAGAGGTACGTTGAATCGTACTGTTGATAACGTGCATCTTGAAGGTACAGTGAACAGTGTCTTAGTTCGCAGTGTCTCCAAATATTCTAAGCATGTATCAGCCTCAATATCACGGTCCCCCTCACTCTCCTGTCCCTCGCGGCGCTCTGCCTCAAGCACGGAACTGTGCTCACCACGGAACGAACCAAGGAAGCAGAAAACAAACTCTATTTTTATACACGAACCGTGTTACGAATCTTTTATCAGCAATAATAAACGGTGAAGGGCAGTGAGTTCAAGGTTGGTTTTATTTCTCATTAATCAGTATATAATTAGAATTCCCGGATGGCATCAGGGCCTGAGTAGCCCACTACCAGCCAATTAGTCACTGACATTGTACACATCACTCATTTACTTTTTATCAGCAGTTACAGAGAGCGAGAGGCGCAACCCTGTTCTTAGTCAGAGTCCACACCATGAGCCTCCCGAGAATTTAGCACAAATTGCCACTGCAAATTGTCACGTTATTCTGCGAGGTCGCTTCAGGTTAATGGTCTGCCCAGTCCCGTATACCTTCATTCCTGACAATATAGTTAATACTCATCTACAGCACTTTGTGCAGACCAAGCCAAAAACAAAGAACGTGCCGGTTTTAATAGTGAGGGATAATCGGCAGGTGCAAATGGACACCTTGTGAAAATGAACACAATTTCATGCCTGTATTCGGACTCTGTGCGGACACACACCTGGTTGAGACTATGAGGTTTGAAAGGATTTCAAACTGGAATCCTCAATATTCCTCAATAAGGATTTGGAGAGAGAGAGAGCCAGCACGGACCCGCTGGAGCGAATGACCTACTCACTCCTCTACCCATTCCTTTCGCTCAGTCAGCTCGGGCCTCCTGCCCATCCCACACTGAGGGCCGATCCACCGTTGGCCGCCGTGCCTTCAGCCGCTGTGCCCCAAACCTCTGGAACTCCCTGCCTCAGATCCCTCCATCACTCGCTCCCTCTTTATAATAATCCTTGCATTTGATATAGCGCTTTTCATGTCGGGAGGACGTCCCAAAGCGTTTCACAGAACACACTGTAAAGTGAATTGACTGTATATTTGTGGGCGAACGCGGCAGCCAATTGCGCACAGCAATGTCCCACAAACAGTCGTAGATTGAAAATGACCAATTTATTATTGTTTTTGGTTTTGGAGGGATTATTATTAGGCTCTGTGTGGAGTAAAGAAACTTGCCCAAGGTTTCGCCCTCTGCCTGGAATTGAACTCAGGTCTCTCGCTTGCACTGAGCTACAGGACTATCTGTCTTAAAATCGCACCTGAACACTTTCGTCTCCGACCCGGCCTCCTGTCTCCTTCCCTTTCTCCCCAGCTCGGCACCATTGGTCAGTGCGCTGAGACATTGCCCACGTGAAGGGCAAGTTGTGGCTGTCGTTTCCGTGCTGCAGCATTCCGTGTAAGTCTATTCTCTGCAGGGCTAATTAACCCACTTTATTACGATCCTTGGGTCTCTTTTTCTTTGCGCGGAGCTCGCGGGGGTCAGTGAGCACCTCTGCTGCAGGAACGCGTATAACCTTTCGTACAGAAATTGCATTTCCAGTAAAAGGTCACGTGGAGCCAACAACTGGTGCACCAGGGTGGATGTCAGTAATCTACTCCTGACCGTCGTTATTTCTAAGAAGGTGCGGTTTCAGCAATTTAATCGTTGAACGCCATCGCTTCCAAGGCGCTGAAATGAACACGTGAGCCCAGAGTTTGTTGCATTTGCTGTTTGAGAAGCTAAATGAATTCCTACGTGATCCGGTTGTATGAATGTTGCAGGTGTGGCCAGCAAGGGGCACTCTGGTAACGTCAAGACAGGAATTTGTGAGCATTTTAGAACCATAGATATTTTACGGCGCAGAAAAGCTATTCTGCCCCTTGTGTCTGCTCTGGCTCCTGTTAAAGAGTTGTTTTCCTTTGGGTTGCTGTTTGAGTTGCGAAAGCATTCCATCGTGAAGGGCGCTATATAAACCGGTTGCCAGTTACGTTGTTATCTAAATGCAAGTTGTTGTTGTTGTTGTTAGCCGCGAGCAGATTTTTTTTGTTGTTTTTTTTGCAGATTATAGTTTACCAGCGTGTTGCGGAAAGAGGCGCGTGAAAAGCTGGCAGTCAAAATGCATCTGTAAAGATTGGTCATTGCAAGTGGGTGTTTGATTTGATTTGTTCTCTGAGGAATTTTTAAAAATGACGGCACTTTCCACTGTACACGGCTGAACCAACTGAATCTCGCTTCCTCAGTGAACGTCTTTCCGGCATCACCTGTTTCTAACACATTAAGAAAAGCGTTTGGAACGGGTACGAAATTCACCCAATCAAAATCGCTCAGCAGCTCCTGTCTGTATTTCAGGTCCACCGCCCTACCCACTCCACCATCAACAGCCGGGCTTCGGTGTGTCTGTCCTCATTCTTTGACCGTGCTTTCGCCCATCGTCCCCAACCCCCTCAACCCTCAACCCCAGATTGGGTCCAAACCTTAGGTATAGCCTTGCATTCTGTACACTTACGAACCCTTGCATCCGAAAGAGTGCCGAACGCTTCACAAGATCCCGAGATTGATCCGGATGCAAGGAGGGCTTTCGGCCCACCCTAGCGACCTCCCGTCACAGCCTCAAGCTGCTTCTTTTAAATGAGTCTAGTGTCCTAGCCTCAACCACCTGGTCCTGGCAGCTTGTTCTAGATCTCACGGACAATGCTGTAAAGTGTTCATGGGTCCACGCGGGAAGCCAATCTGCAAGCAGCAATCTCCCAACAAACAACAGTGAAGTGGATGAACGACCAATTTATCGCAACATGTGATATTACCACCTGTTGCGTTTTAACATCCCCAATAATAACGATCCCCTGTGATAATTGAGGGCGAACTTGCTGGGAGTGACGTGATAGTTACCGGCGATGTAAAGCCACTCGCTCGTCGAAAGAAAAAAAATTGCAGTTGACAAAACTCCCATCGCGTTAAAACTGTAGTAATGTCAAGTGTAGCAGCCATGTCTCATATAACCAGCCTGAGGTGTCTGACCCATTAAACTGGAGAACTGCTGGCCAAGACACCAGGAGAAAATCACTTACTGTTTTCAATTAGCCGTGGGATCTTTAATATCCTCCTAAAGGACAAAGTGCAAATGGTTTAACGTCTCATCCAGAGGAAAGGCTCCATCAAAAATGAGTAGCCATGAGCAATAGGAGCCTTTATCCCCCCCCACCCCCCCCACTTTTAAATCCCAGGGACATTGAGAGCGACTGTAATATTTACTGCTGCTCCTGCAGCTGAGGTTAACTAACACAGCGCAGTGTGAGGAGGAGTGAACCCGGGACTTTCCTGGGCTGTGTGACTCTGTTTCGTCCTCAGCCATCGGAGATGCTGAAACATCACCTTTAATTGCACGGACAGAAAGCAAGCCACTGGCACCGAAGCCACCATTGCCCGCCGAGCTCGTGAGTTAGATACTTGGTGCCATTCGATTAGTGCTTTGTTCCATGGTGTGTATCCTCCAGCTATGCACGTAAGGTCTTAATATCCAGCCCGAGTATATCCAATTAATTGTGTAACGCTGATAAAACGTACCTCGGTTGGCAGCTCCTGGTATTCCAGGGACACACTTGTGCCGACATAGACACATAGGTCTGCACGCTGTCCATTGTTACGGTGGGTGAGAGTCGCGTGTGCACATAAGCACACCAGTTCCTGCAAAACACAACACAACAAAAACAAGACAAATCACTCCATTTCCTGGCACTCGGAAAGTACGCCATAAAATAACTCTTTTTGCACAACCTAATTTGCTCAGCGGCCGCAGGGACCCGAGGCCCGAAAAGTGCGGGTAAGCAATTTTAAAAGTTACGTTGGAAACTGGAAGGAAAGAAATGCTTTCCTGAGGACCTGTACAGAGGTCTGTACTGCTGGAAACCGCGCGCAATAACTTACAACCTTTGTTTCTGTGCTTGAGGTTTCTCAAATTGAAGACTTGTTGTTGTAAAAATATATTTTTGCAAGATAGCCGATTTCTAACTCAGCATAATAATCATCATCCTTGCATTTGATATCGTACTTATGACAGTGAATTGTCTCAAGAGTTGTCCGTTAAGTATAACGACTATGTGCTTGTGAGCCAAACACAGCGGTCAGTTTGCGCACGGCAATGTGCCACAGACAGCCCCAAGCAATGAAGTGCACGAGCAATTTTATCTGGAGGATTGTTGGCCGAGAAACTCGCTTTTTTGGCAGATATTTAACACCCACTCAACAGACCAACAAAGACCTCGGTTTAATATCTCATCGGAAGAACAGCAGCTCCAACAATGCAGCGATCCCCAAGCACTGCATCACATATATATGTAAATTAGATTATATTTCTATACACATGTATATGTAGAAATGAAAATTCTGAATTGTTACAACTGATATATCTTTTGCAAGAAATATGTTCTGGTCTCAGCGCAGGTAAGAAGAAGTCATACACAGATATCCAGCAGATGGCAGTGATGTATCACACAAACTACACCTGAAATGAATGGTACGCCACAGATATTGTAGTCCTACAGTAAAATAATCGCTGCACTATTATATCATGGAGATGCCTCCAAGCCCCTGCACACCATTTACCACGAAGTGTAGTGACTGTGTATTGAGAAGCGAACGGGGCAGCCAATTTGCGCGCAGCAAAGTCACGTAAACAGCCATCAAGTGAACGACTAATATTGATTGGTGGATTGTTGGCCAGGACACCGGGAGAAACTGCCTTCTCTTTTCAAGTGGTGATAGTATGTTTGCTACGCACCCGAACAGGCAGACAGGACCTCGCTTTAACGTCACCTGAGAAGGGCAGCACCTCTGAACTCTAACGGTCTAAGCTGTGTCAAAGTGCCCAACGTGCAGTTAGGACCCACAACCTCTGGCGCGAGAGTGCTACCAAGTTTGACAAGCGACGGTGCGAGTGAAGGTGCCATTATTTGCAAGTTGAGTGAGCAATTCCGTTCTGTGGTCCAATGACCGGTTGTCCCCAGAGAAGAGCATGTTATAGGGAAGTTTAGTTGACCTAATGTCGGTGACTGTGGAGATTGGCGATATTGGTCTGATAATAATAATAATAATAATAATCCTTGCATTTGATATAGCGCTTTTCACGTCGGGAGGACGTCCCAAAGCGCTTCACAGAACACACTGTAAAGTGAATTGACTGTATATTTGTGGGCGAACGCGGCAGCCAATTGCGCACAGCAATGTCCCACAAACAGTCGTAGATTGAAAATGACCAATTTATTGTTTTTGGTTTTGGAGGGATTATTATTAGGCTCTGTGTGGAGTAAGGAAACTTGCCCAAGGTTTGGCCCTCTGCCTGGAATTGAACTCAGGTCTCTCACTTGCAAAGCGAGTGCTCTAACCACTGAGCTACAGGACTCCATCGTGTGCCACTTTAATCAGATTAAAAAAAAACGACGCTTCATCTTCACGTGTGAAGAAATGTGCTAACCACTATCTTGTTTTGTTAAAAAAAAAGACATAGGAAGGACCAAATATTGGATGGAGTTAGAAGGTTATCTTTTTGATTCTTGCTTTGAAGCTAGTTTACGTGATCGGGTCAAAATCTCCTCTCTGATCGTTGGGGACGATGATGAAAAACTAATCACTGCAATCTGTTTGTGTTTGCACACACTTTGACCTCGAGCTGATCCAGACATTTTGAATTTAATTATTCACGTGCCTCACATCAATACATGACAGGATAAGGAGGTGACAGGATTACAGTGTGTGCATTTGGAAGCCACAACCAAATTTGTCCAGACGAGCAGTTAATGGAATAGTGTTTACAATAGTGAATGGTGAAGTCTTGACATTTGAAACCAAGTGTTTAAGCACTGCATATCATTACACACAGTGGATTGTGTAAAGAAACATTGGTACGTGGTGTATCAGTATTAACTCTTGAGACTGAGTAGGCTATTTCGGACTACGTTCTCGACACAAGAACATGTGTCGATGACATACATGTAATAATCCCTCGAAACACATGTCATCACTCAATCCGCCACTGTTTGCGGGACGCTGCTGAGCGCAATTGGGGGCTGCCGCGTTCCGCCCACAAAATACACGCAGTCAATTCGTTTTGCAATACATTCTGTGCAGTGATTCGAGACGTCTCAATGATGTGAAAAGGCGCTATATCAAATACAAGGATTATTATTATTAATATAATTATTATATGTGGAACTCTCAAGCCCCATGTCGGGACTTGGAATCACATAGTCTAAACTGACCCTCCAGTGTAGTTTTGGGGGTGTGCTGCATTACTGGAGGTGCCATCCTTCGGATGAGATGTTAAACCAAGGCCCCATCTGCCTGCTCAGGGTAGAAAAGAGAAGGGAGTTTCTCTTCGGTGTCCTGACCAACAATCCTCTAAAATCGGTCATCGATTTTACAGCTGTTTGCGGACATTGTTGTGCACAAACTGGCTGCCGTGTTCACCCACAAAACACACAGTCACTGCACTTTACCGTACATCCTGTGAATCGCTTTGACCCGTCCTCACGACGTTAAAACGTAAGGATTATTTATTATTTTGGTGGAGTAATATTCATACTGGCAAGGACTATTCAGGCTGAATGACCTGTTTCCATGCTGTAACGCTCTATGTAATGTGATATAGTTCCACTTCAAATTCAATCATATTTATACTAAAACTGAAGTCAATGAAATGTGGTACTTATGTTACTCAGTGTGTAGCAGATGTTCTGTTCCTATTGGAAATCTTTCAATTAATGGCATTAGATTAAGATTGATGGGGGAGGTACAGAGAATAGGTTAAGAGGATGCTATTCCTTATCGTGAGACACGACATGAGTGTAAAATTGACAAGCCTCAAGCATGACTTGAGATTAGTAGGACTTTCTATCCCTCACGGAAGGCTGTGGACGTGTGGAATAGACTACCAGTTAAACCACAAACACTGTCATTTAAAATAAAGTGTGCGGTCGGCAGGAGGCGAACTAGAATCGTCCTCAAAGCCACTGGGACGTGAGAGGGACAAATTAGTCAGCTCCCGATCACTCTCTTAACGACCGTACTGGAAAAGTAGACGCGTATATAACGATGCGAGCTTGGGGTCCAGGATAATCAGCAACGTCGTGTCACACCAAAAGCAGCGTCAATTAAAAGTAGCGTCAATCAGGAAGTGCAGTGAGTTTGAACGTTTGTCCTTTTACCTGCAGTGTAAACCCTGCCTCGGTCAAATGTGATGAAAGTATTGTCTGTCTCCCTGTTGGCCGCGAGGACACCACAGTCCGTGCAAGCGAGAGACCTGAGTTCAATTCCAGGCAGAGGGCGAAACCTTGGGCAAGTTTCCTTACTCCACACAGAGCCTAATAGTAATCCCTCCAAAACCAAAAACAATAATAAATTGGTCATTTTCAATCTACGACTGTTTGTGGGACATTGCTGTGCGCAATTGGCTGCTGCGTTCGCCCACAAATATACAGTCAATTCACTTTACAGTGTGTTCTGTGAAGCGCTTTGGGACGTCCTCCCGACGTGAAAAGCGCTATATCAAATGCAAGGATTATTATTATTATTATTATAAACTGAGCAATCTCGGGCTGATTCGTGGAAGGGCATAAGTTCACAGCGCAAAGCGTCCTCGAATTTGGCCCAAGTTAGCAGTAAAGTGTCACAATCTCACTCCGAGAGGCCACACAAGGATAATCAGTCTGGAAGAATGGGAGCTGACACGAGCCACACTGTGAAAACGTTGCCAGATCAACAAAAAANCATTATTGTTGATGAACTAACTCATTCACAAATAAAATGGGTAAATAACTGCTTAGGAACAGGCTTGGAGGTTAAAGGGATCAGTGCCCACAAGCCCTCAAACACAGTAATATTTCTGCCGGTTTCCCCCTTGAGGTTAGAGTGGGTGAATTGATATCCCTTCAGCCCACCATTTGATCTCACGGCGATAAAAGCTGAAATATAACAGAGAAGCCGCAGTGTTATCAGTCACACGCTCGTTCGATGTTGCTCTCATGATTCTCTGTTATCTTATAGTAATAATAATAAATCCTTGTATTTGATGTATTGCCTCGAGACGTCTCAAAGCGCTTCACATAATGTAATGTGAAGTGAATTGAACCCGGGTCTCTCGCTTGCAAAGCGAGCGCTCTAACCACTGAGCTACAGGTCTCCACATAGTTACCTTGCATCAACAATTAATTTATTATCGGGAGTCAATGAAAGTGTGATCAAAAGGACACTCCCAAAACTTCAGTCCATCTTCCTCTTTCGGCATTTCGATCTTAACAATTTTAAATTTCCAGCAACTGCTATTTCCTTTTTCATTCCGCAAAGAGACCGAAAAGGGTCCTTTAGAGCCTAACATTTGTGTTGTCGAAGAAATTATGTTTCTTCACTGTGTGATGTACTCTGTATCTCCAAACTGCGTGTCTGGAGCCTGAAACTGATGATACGTATTGTGTTTGACTTCTGTACTGAGCTGTCTCCCTGCTAATAGCAAGGCTTTGTGTTGAGAGACATAGGGTCAAACTTGTACACAGGCATTCAGGAAAGCAGGAGGGATACTCCTTTGAATGGGATTCAGCAGCGGGAAACTTGCCAATTTCCCCGCCCCAGTCAGTCACACAATAGAGATTGTATCTGAAATGCTCCCGAGTCCTAATGGGTCAGCGTTATCGCAGACGACACATTTATTTACGGTGCCACTCCGGGTTCTCTCAATGTACAGAAACGGAAATAGAGGTAGACAATATAATCCCTTCAACAATAAATAAATACATAATAATAATAACTTGGTCACTTCAATCCAGCGCTGCTTGTGGGGACTGCTGTACACAACTGGCTGTCCCGTTGTGCCCACAACACATACAGTCAATTCATTTACAGTGTATTCTGTGAAGTTCTTTGAGATGCCTTGAAGACGTGATAAGGCGCCAAATCAAATGCAAGGATTATTATTATATTAGATAGGATAATTATGGCGGTAACTAACAGCATTTACTCTATTTGTGTAGCATTTTAGAGCCTCCATAATCTGGCAAATTCTTGAAACACAACCTTAGTTTTGAAGGCCATTATTCTGTAAGTTTCTTTTAAGAACTACAGAAAAACAACTTCAAAGTTGAGTCTGAATTCATGACGGGCTGTTTCAATTTGTCCAGGGACACGGCCTGCAATCGAAAGGGGGGTTAAATTCAGAACAAATCTGCGCAAACACTATTTCAGTCAGCGAATAGTGAACCTGTGGAACAGGCTCCCGAGGGGAGACGGTTGAAGCAGGAAATGTTGATTCCTTCAAAAAAAGATTAGATCATTTTCTTTTAGGAAATAACATTGTGGGATATAGTACATAGGGAGTTTGGGACATACGTGGAGGCCACCTCCAGGAAGGTGGAAGGCCAACTAGATGGTTCTTGGTCTTTTTTCGTCTAGCACGTCTTACGTTCTTATGTTCTTAATTCAACAGCATAGGTGTCAGCTTGGCTCAGTGGTCGGTAGCACTCTCGCCTCCGAGTCAGAGGGTGTGGGTTCAAGCCCCATGTCAGGGCTTGGAATAACAAAGTCTAAGCTAACGCTCCAATGCGGTACTGGGGGTGTCCTGCATTGTTGGAGGTGCCGTCCTTTAAACTGAAGTCTGCCTGTGTAGGTGGATTTTAAAGATCCCACGGCATTACTCGAAAAGGGAAGGGAATTTCTCGCAGCGTCCTTGTACCCCAAATAAGATTGGTCACTCACTCCATGGCTGTTTGTGGGACACTGATGCGTGGAACTAGCAGTCGCTGTTTGCTGACAAAATACACAGTCAATCCACTGTACAGTCATAACCTGTGAAGTGCTTTGAGACATCTCGACAACCCGATAAGGAACTATATCAAATGCAAGGGTTGTTGATATTAATTTGCCGAAATCTGGAAACGCTGAAATATGACGCAAATGGAGTCAATCTATCCCCAGGTGAGATTTCTCCCATCTATACAGGTTACAGACAGGCCAATAGATAAACAGACATCAAATAAACAAAGACTGAAACGCACCACAAATCAACCGGGATCCGGAGCAAAAAGAGATAGATTCACACCTCAGGTATCATCCTTCCTCTCGGGCTTGGATGAAACCCGAAACATTAACCTATTTTTCTCTTCCGAATTCTGAACGGTCGGTTGATTTCTTGTTTCCGTTTCAGATTGTCATTCTACCTCTGTTCAGAGGGTACAGTTCGCTGGAGGCACTTTTAAACAAGCACCCCCGATGAATCAGCTACCTCCCACCCCGACCGAAAGGCCCCAGCATCCAGCTAGGGATAAAGCTGACTTTGTACTTACTTCCCTCGATACGTCTCGAAGTTTGGTTTGGGGTTCCCAGGCTTGCTGTAGAAAGGATGATTCTGATTCGAGCTCGATTGATGTGAGTGTCCACCTGTCCTGGCAATCGCCTGTCGTGGAGACCGGTTAGCATTGGGTTGATTTCTCTCAGGTACGTTCCTGCTAAGGACCTTCAAGAGCTCGCTCTGAACCTTGGCTCCCTTTACCGTTGCTTTAACGCTGACCCCAAGTCTGGGGCCGCCAGGTGGAATCCAACCTGGTGGAGAGGTCGTGTTGAGAAGCCCTTCACTGATTCCCAGAAGGGTGAAGGCTGTCAGAAGGTAGATGAGCCCCTTCATCCTTACCGACCCGACCAAAGAAAAATCGGGAATAGCAGAGCGCTAACAGCGAGAGGTGAATGTGTGTCAAGCAAGTATTGCAGCACGAAACCGCCTGAGCGTACAAGCTTGTGTTGAGAGTGAGAGTGGGCTTGTCTTGACTTCTGGTCAGGAAGGAAACCACGTTTGCATTTTGGAAATGACCAGAGGAAACAAACAGCACAGAAGCCCTGCCCAGGAAGCGTGAAAAAAAAAGACGCTTCTGTTTTCGTGAAGCCAATTAAAAGAGAGAAAATATTCACCGACGACGATTAATATCGTTTGCTGCAGTTCTGTGTCCGTGTTCCAGGTTCAGCATGTCGATGGTTAAATCCCTTCGACTGATCTGCAGAAGGCTGGAACTGCAGCAACCCTTCATGTGGGCCTTATTGAAATGGAATGAAAGATCACAACAAACAAAAATGTTTTGTGGTATTATTATAATCTACGTGGGGTGAACTGATACCCATATCACAAGATTACACGAGACATTCAGATGCCCTTAGGCTCATTTGATCTCACCCTTCCAGAACATACAACAGCCTCACATCACTCCACTTACAGCACCAAGCTTTTCATAAATGACTCCTGGCCTCATCACCCTTCTTGTGAACCCATTCCAGTCGTTAACTGTCCTCCAGGGAAATAATTACTTCCTTGTGTGTGGCCGAAAATACTTTATATAATAATCTGCGGTCCGCATCCTCAATCTGCACCAAGCTCCACGCGCCTATTACCCCAGACCTCGCCAGTCTCCAGTGGCTCGGTGTCTCCCTGCCGATTGATTTCGAGGTCTTCACCTCAAATCCATCCACGTCCTGGAACCCCCTTATCCCTCCAACCTCCTCCTCTGCTTGCCCTCCCTCTCAGCGTTCAGGTCCTATACCCCTAACCTCTGGAACTCCGTCTGTCTCACCCCCTCTCTTTCTGAAACGACGTCTCACCTAAATCCTACCTCTTTCAACCCACCTACTGTACCTTTCCCCTCTCCCTCGTTCAGTGTCCAACCACATCCCTGTAAAACGCTCCAGGATGTTGTCTTGTATGAAGGGTGCTACATAAATGTGATTTTATTGTTGTTGCCATGAATTTGCACCGAGCACCGTATTATGTGTAGAAATTGACCTGATTAAAAGCTGAATCCAAGCCACTGTTTTGTGGCAGCTGTGGAAGACTGTTACAGCCCATCATAATACGTGGCCACAACAGGGGTTCCTACCTACCTAGCAAGACACTCTAAAATAACCTCTCTTACTTGCCAAATAATTATCCATGAGTCACAGCCAGAGGTCACCTACAAGACTGCGTGGAAGCATTGGTTGGAATATTGCCTATGATATACAGTAAGAGATAATTACCGACAATTGCCTCGGCAAACAAATTCAAAGACTTGTGCAATCCACGAAAAATTGCCTCCAGTACCATCTATCACTTTGGCTTTGTAGAACTGTACTCGTGTAGAGAGACACTGTCTGTGTTCAAGACACGTTTGACAAAGCTGTCTTGCTGTCAATAGTGCCTTTTTTAAATTTTATCCCAGACCGTATAAAAGACCTGATCTGCAGTTAGTTCCTGGCAGAGTAAGTAGTTTGGTTACAATCTGAAGAAATAAGTAGCAAGAAATACTTAGCTTGAGCTTTGGAAATGACTTGACGTCAAATCGATGAGGAGCAATATGTCTGTCGGTCGACGCATGGGGCAAAGGAGGGAGAGAGGAGCATAAGTGAAGATTCTTACTGGAAGTAAAAAGGGTGGAGGATGGAAGATGTGTTTTTTATACAAATGACCATTCCCGAGCCGCGATTAACAGACCACTTTGTCTTGTTGCTTGTCGTGAGAGGGATCTCTCACATCCTGACCTACTCCGCATTATGTATTATGTTTGGCTGCAAAGATGACAGGGGTTTCGTTCCAATTTTACTAACTCACTTGTCCTGTGATCCAGCTGTTGATAGATCCTTAATTTCCACCTAAACCAGCAGACTGGACCTTGGTTTAACATCTCCTCTGAAAGATGGATATCATCCTGGCAAACCATGTATATCAGCCTGGCTGACTTGGAAGCGCTCTCATCTCGGGGTCAGAAAGTTGTGGGTTCAAAGATTTAGAACTCGTATAGTTTGACTCTTGTCAGAGGTGCCATTAAACTGGACCTGAAGCCCCTCTGTCTGTTCATTCACAAGGAACTTTAGTCCCAACTTTAACCATTCCCCCCAAGGAAGGACTTTGGAACTGCCGTGGAAAAGCAAGGCAAAAAGCATTAACCCAATAAACCAATATTTCATCTTGTCGGGAAAAGGAAGAAGATTGTTATCTGTTGAATGGAAAGAGGCAAGAACTGAAGAGTGCAGATCTGGGGATAGAAGAATATCCCGGAGGGTTTATGTGGTTGTCTTTGAGAATCAGAGTGTAACTGTACAGAATTTTTCTTGAGGGCCAGAATGGGTTGGGGTGAGTGCACTGCAAGTTGCAGTAATACAACTTGCTGTTGCGTAATTTAGATGACTGTGAAAAGCTAGTGGCTTTCATCACACAAGACGCTTGTGGCAAAGGCTCACTGAGGGAAGCTGTGGTTGAAGCAAGAAGCAGTATGTAAGAGGAAACTCGATGCAACACGTCCACTAAATTGGGCGTGAAATGCAATTTGTCATTTGTTGTTGTTGCTACTTGGTCCGTGGAGAAGCTCAGTTGTTTTTTTTTTCCTTTTCCATGCCTCTTACGTCCTTGCACTTTGAATACATTTGGAAAGATCCAGACAACTGAGACTACCGTAGAGGGTTGACTCTCTTCCGACATTCCATTGCCCAACATGTCACCTTGGAGTCAGTTCAGCTTCAAGGACACCCACTTACCTCCTCCAAGGACAACCCTTTACCTTTCCCTGGAGGAGAATCCTCCCCTTCACCCATATCTCTCTCCTCTCTTCTCTCCTATGCCTACACCAAGTTTCTTTTGCTTCAAGCACAGCTTTCAGCAGTGAACTATTTGCAACTGGCAGCGTGTGTAATTGAAGACACCAGCATCTGAACAAACAATTTATAAGGCGCCTTTCAAGTTGCAGAACGTCCCAAAGAGCTTGTTATTGTAATGTAGCTATAAAACGATAGTAGTTGAATAATAATAAAAAAAATCCTTGGATTTTTTGGATGGTGGGCCTTTCATGTCCGGAAAACGTCTCCAAGAACTTCACAGGATTTATTGTAATGCGTAGCGACTGCATATGTTGTAGCCGGTTTGCGCACTGCGGTCAAAGGCGCTAACGATCATGAAGTGAACGTCCAAATATGAACCGACTGCAAGTTACAATATGAGTGTTTTCTGATCTTCTTTTTCAGGTGCTAATTGACCGGCTATTGATTTAAAGTATTTTCTCGTTTAGTTCCTTGTTTTTGTTGCTGTTGAAGGTAAATGCTCCTTCAATTTTCTCCCTTGGTTTAAAATATGTGAAAATATTTTTTTCAGAACGATCACAAGATCGGTTTGGATGATGGCCCTTTGACCCATTTGATAATAATAATAATATAATAATAATCCTTGCATTCGATATAGCGCTTTTCACGTCTTCTCGACGTCTCAAAGCACTTCACAGAATATGCTGTAAAGTGAATTGACTGTATATTTGTGGGCGAACGCGGCAGCCAATTGCGCACAGCAATGTCCCACAAACAGTCGTGGATTGAGAATGACCAATTTATTATTGTTTTGTTTTGGAGGGATTATTATTAGGCTCTGTGTGGGGTAAGGAAACTTGCCCAAGGTTTCGCCCTCTGCCTGGAATTGAACCCAGGTGTCTCGTTTGCAAGGCGAGTGCTCTAACCACTGAGCTACAGGACTCCAGAATACCCAGCCTAAGTCCTACCATCACCGCATCAAGCTGCTTTGTAAATGAGTTGTTCCTCTTCGACCCCCTCCCCTTATCCCGTCTCGTTGTCGTGCTCCACCCCTGTCAAGCACTGTGGGAGGGATTATATAAATATATATAGTATATGAATATATAAATGCAAGTTTTTTTTTTGTTGTTGATCACCCTCTGACGAAAGAAAAAGCTTCCTGGAATCTGTCCTGAAATTGTTCTTTGCAGGTCTAAACCTATAATAATAATAATAATAATAATATGTCCTCTTGTTCCACTGTCTTGGCGCATCTTAAATTATTGATCTGGTTTGACTTTTTCAATTAATGTTTAACAACGGTGTCTTCTCAGAGACATTCCTATCAAGACTGAAGAGCTCCGCTTGTCTAATTGTTTTTCAGAGACAAAGAATCCTCGTAATATCAGTAAACTCAGCACAAGTCAGGATTCAAACATGGGACAAAACACTAAATACTGCAGATGCTGGAAATCTGAAAAGAAAAACAGAAGTGGCCAGGAACACTCAGCAGGTCAGGCAGCGTCTATGGAGAAAGGAAAGTGAGTCAAAGTTTCGGGTCCACGACCCTTCGTCAGAACTGGGGCACGTTGGGATGAGATCAAATTGGCTGAATCGCTTTGTTTATCCAAAATAGTCTTGTGAAGGTGACTCTTCCATCTGGAGATTTTCATGTTCTTCAGAAAGATCAGCAGATCGCTGTCTAAAGGAATATCAAGAACATATTAACCAATTCCTCCCTTATAGACATCCGATTCCATCTCCCATGTGAAGCTCCACAACAATCAGAACAATTTGAAGTGACTGTCCTATGTTACTTCACTGCTGGCGATTGATGGTCTAGCAATATGCTCCTTAAATCTCCACCACGACTTGTTCCAGTTGTAAAAGTACTTGGTTCCCACCTTCTTTTCTGCCAGACAATTAAAAGGTAAATTCTGTTTTATTCTTCTCTTGGATGTCATGGAAACCATTCCTGACCTTCTGAACAGACTCAGCTTGCGACGTACATTGCATTATCTCTGCGGGTAACCTCTTCTCGTGCTCGTGTTATTGGCATTAGAATTTTTATTTTGGGGATTTTTTTCTGAGGGATTATTACCCCAGAAAAGTGATCCGCATATTGACTACCAACCGGGTTCCCACATACTTCTAGGTAAACAGAGGCGTGTGGAGTAAGGAAACTTGCTGAATGTTTCCCGCGCCTGGGAAGCTAGGTCCTCTT